ACAAAAGATAATTTTGTAATTCTTTAATGATTAAACTTGTGCTATTATACAATTGAGACGATTGAACAATGTTCTCAATAGCATAATAAGTATAACTTTTTTCAAATTAAAACTAATTTATGGTTTAAGATTCACGAACAGTTATACAATCAACATTTTATGACTCCTCCCATATTTTTTTCTTCCTTCGATTGATTTTAAAAAATACAATTATTCTTTCTTGAATTGATTGAAATCATTAAAAAATGTGATCCTATGATTATTCGATCTCCTTTGAATTAATTTAAAACATTGGATTGCCAAAACTTTATGATTCAGAGAATATAATTCTCTTATAACATATCACTGTATTAGTTTAGAATAGAAAAATAAATAATATTATGGTTAAATTCTCAAAACGGTACTCAATAACTATGTATTTTTCAAAATTAGTCTATAAAATTAACTACTTCATAAAATGGTACTCGTTAATTGAAAATAATGCTGCTCAGTTCAGTCCTCTTAATAACAGCCGTTAAAACATCGTTAAAATTACGTTAAACTTTATACTACTTTCCTAAAATGATATTTTCTAACATGGTGATTTTTCAAATTGGTCAATTTTCGAAATAAAAATATATTAGTCATGGAAAAATATTTTAAATTTTAAAGGATGACAATATAATTTTATAAATTTGGAAGCAATGTTTTAGATTATTTAAATTTATTTAAAAGAATATCATGTAACAAAATATTTAATAAATTTTAAAGAAATCACCCTAAATAGAAGTAAAACATTCTTGGATGGAGGAAGTATATTTAAATGTCATGTTTTTATAAAATTTATAAGTATATAAATGTAAATATAAATATTAATACTAAAAATGTATATTCTGAGGGCTCTAAAAAAGTCAACTAAGAACCTTATATTTCATGAATATACTTTAATTATTACTATATTTCAACTACAATATTTTATCATGTGTTGGAATGTTGTTGTAAGAAATCATTATTTTAAATAAGACTAAAATATAAAAAAAATACTAAAATAGGAGTCACATAGGAGTTCGCACATATTTTTATTAATTATAAGACGGTCCTCTCCTCTCCTCATTATTTCTCTCACAAATATTTCTATGGTACATCTTGGATGCATACTACTTTTTGTAGACATTTTCATATAAAAAAAAGGTTTTTCTTTATTTTTTTTTTTTAAAATAAGTCCATAATTATCTAAATAATAAAAAGATTTTTATTTTGCTTATATCTAAATCAAAAATGAACATTAGGTCCATTTGTCCTATCTCCCAAGAGTGTATTTCATTATTTCTCTCTCAATTAAAAAAAGCTGCATCCACCACATCTACACCACACCCACACCACCGGCTCTTCCTCTTATTGAGACCCCACTCTTTTTCTTTCGGGTCGACCCCCCTTTTATGTACTATACTCTTTCTCTCTCTTTTTCTTCTTCTTCTTTCGATGCGAAAAACCCTTAGTATATGATGATGATGATGATGATCGGATCGGAGCTCAACCGCAACCCATATTAAGCACACACAACCTCCTCATCTTCATCAATCATCATCAACCCATATACATATATATAGAGAGAGAGTATATACAGTGGTGCCTTTTCCTCAGATCGAGACAAATAAATAAAAAAAGAAGAGAGGGAGGGAGAGGGAGATCACGGAAATGACTGTGTGTGAAGGAAGAAGAATATATTGATTATATTCTTTCTCTTTCTTTCCGCCCTTTGTGAAGATCGAGAAAAGGGATTAGTTGATTACTACTGGCGATTAATAAATAATTTAATGGATTCAAGCAATAATAGCGGGAGCATTCAGTCCTCCAGCGGCGGCGACGAGGAGTACGATTCCTACTCCCTTTTCCTCAGCAAAACACTCGCCGGTCAACTCTCCCAACCCCCGCCGCCCCCCGCCGCCCTCTTCACCCCCTCCTCCGCCTTCCTCTCCTCCTTTTTCGACCCTTCCACTCCCTTTTCCCTCGACCCCCTTCCCGATTTCCCCCCTTCCTCTTGGCCCTCCATTAGTAGCAGTAACAACAACAATAATAAATCTCTCCCCTCTCCCGCCGCCGCCGCCGCCGCTCATCAGAAGTTAGGGAGAAGGCGGCGGCGTCACCATCAGTATCTCCCCTCTCCGCCGGAGCCCAACGGCAAGGACCAGAACAGCCGCGTCATCCGGAACTCCAAGAAACGGTCCCGCGCTTCCAGGAGAGCGCCGACCACCGTCCTCACCACGGACACCTCCAATTTCAGGGCCATGGTTCAGGAGTTCACCGGGATTCCGGCGCCCCCCTTTTCTTCCTCGCCCTTCCCCAGAACTCGCTTCGATCTCTTCGGCTCCTCCACCGCCGCCCCCCATCAGCCGCCGTATCTCCGCCGCCCCTTTCCCCAGAAGTTAATAATCCCGCCGACCCAGCAACAGTCGCCGCTACTCCCGCTCCCACCGGCCTCCTACAACAACAACAGCAGCAGCAGTCTCTTCGCCGGCGGCGGCGTTCAGCACAGCTCCCTCCTCTCCTCCCTCCTCCAGCCATCATCCCCAAAATACCCCCGAGATCCCCTCCAAATTCCGTCCACCGCCCCGCCGCCCAAAGTCAACGACGACTTCATCAACGCGGATCTCGCTGGCGGCCTCCCGGGGCTGGTGTCTTCGGAACATGGACAACTCGCAGCCGACCCAGGAAGCTGGCGGGGACCACCGGGCGTCAGCGACGACCAGCTCCGAGCGATAACCGGCGATCACCACCGTCGTCGCAGCTCCAACGACGGCGAGCCTAACGATAACGGAGAAACCAACTTCCGGGCGTCAAATTTTAACGGAGGAGACAAGGAGCCTAACAACGAAGGTATGACGGAGCCGTGGGTTTGTTCTTCAGACTTGAAATGATTACACCATTGAAAGTTAGTTTTATTAATCATCATTCCCCGCATATATATGATGTATGTATGTATGTGTGTCATCATATCATGATTGTTTAGTTGATGTTATCATCCAAACGAGGAACTTAAGTTAAAGGAGAGGTTAACTGCAGCTGCTGCATGTTATAGTTCATCATCACCCCACCACCACCATCATCATCATCATCACCATCCCACCACCACCATCATCATCACCATCATCATCATCATCTTCTAGTTTTCCTTAACCATAATACCTTAATTATTTATCATCACAAAAAAAAAACATCATCACACAATTATATTCCCTATTTATGTAATTTAAAATGTTGTTACTAATTAAGCTATACCTAGTAGATTATTTCTAGGATCATCTTCGTGAATATATACTGACTTTCCTTAAAAAACATCATTTTTTTAATATAGTACTTTTAGTCATTATTCATTAGTCATTATTTAAGTAAATTTTTGTCATTACTCTACTTTATTAAGTACTATTTAGTGTTATTTAGTACAAATAATGCCTTTATTTATAGTTTTTTTTAAAAACTAATGATGAGTAAATGTAGCCCATAGACAGAAAGAATCAATGGGGTTTGAAACTATATGTTAAATCGTGATCTTACGTACCTTCCTCGGACCTTCCTTTTCTCATTTGATACACTTAATTGCTTAATCTTTTTCTCTATAATAAATTAATTAAACTAGGAAAAAATGCACCAAGCAATTTTTTCGAGATATATATGGGGAGTGATTGTTGGCGATAATTTTTCGAGATGATTTGGGCGCTACTTATTGTCTCGACATTTACGTACATGAGACTAATTAAGGACATGAACACATAGATATTATGAATCGCATAAACGTTTTTAGATTAAAGTTGTTTCGGAGTTGTGTCTAACACAAATATCAGATAACACAAATATCAACTACAAAGAGTATAACAAGTTCTCTCCGATCTGTGATTCACACCATACTCCATTTTTATGGAGATCAGAAAAAGCGACCAAACATGTTTATTGACATGAACTAACATGACTATTTAGGTAGTATTTCATAATTTGAATACTCTCTCCATTCCCATATTTAATTTCCCTGCCGGTTACTATTTTAGATTCTCGATAACTTTTATTGATTTGTGTGTTTTCGTTAATAATTTGATAAATTAAATTATCTTAATGTATTTTTTAAGCATGTAATTTGTAGTACATTTTAAACCAAAATGCACTTCGTTCACGCACCCAAAATTAGAGGCTATTACACTGACAACACAAATTTGTAGCTTTTATTTCTATTACCAAATTATAAATAAAATAATTTTAATGAAGATAATTGCCGTTGTCGAACCCTGGGATCTTACAAGGGTATGCCGCCTTTGGGACCCGATTTCCAGTGGGCTACCGTGTTGCTGAACCCCCGCTAATAAATTTGTCATTATTGTTGAACCAGCGTGTATAGCTCCAAACGTGTGTGCCCTCTTTTAAATTTAGATACAATCAAACAAATGAAAACTTGATGATATTCGTCTTGGTCATCCGTCCACTCAAGTCACTAAGTCTTTATCCTCTAAATTAGGTTTCAAATTTTCAAAAATTGATCATTGTAACTCTTGTTTTGTTGCCAAGTCTCATAAATTTCCTTTTCATATATCTCTAAGTACTGCAACAGTACCGTTTCATTTAGTTCATTCTAATATATGTGGATTTACTTATGTATCCTCTTTTAGGGGATATCATTTTTATATTAATTTAATTGATAACTTTACTAAATTTTGTTGCCTATATCCTCTCAATAGTTAGTCTGGATCTTATGATGTGTTTCAAAGTTTTCAGCCTATGGTCCAAAATCAGTTTTGCACGCAAGTTCGAATGTTTTACTAACAAAATACATGAATATGTCAACAAAAAATTTGGCTTATTTTTTGCAAAAGTTGGGGGTTCTTCATAAAAAATATTGTCCTTATACTCTTGAACAAAATAGGGTTGCAAAGAGAACACGTGCATTTTGTAACACATTAATCTGTCCAGGTCGATCTGCAGCTCCTTTTAGACTAAAGTATAGACTTGGTAATCATAAACAATCAAAACACTTCAAACATTTTCGAACTTTATTTCATAATAAATTATTCAAAATAGTAACAGAGTACTTAATGTTGCAGAAGCGTAATGAGAAATATCACATCACAATAACAAATGATCAATTAATGTCTTTTGAAATATCAATTCAAGCTATCACATCCTTTCTAACAATCTCGCCCCATCTGTCGTTAGGAATGCGTCACATCATTCTATCTGTTTTCCTATGTCTAGCAAATAAAACATATCACACAAACAACGGTCAAGCTGAGTAAGAATATCTAATGCTTCAAACATCAACATAAATTGAATCTCAATTCACAAACAAATCATTTGTCATCATACACATAATATTCAGTTCAAGGATTTGTTATTGATAATATCAACATTGCTCTTTTAACTATTTTTAGTCTACTGCCAATTTTATATTGATAACAAAGTTCTTAAACTATTCGTAATCTAATGCAATATTTCTAACCAGACTCTTAAATTATAATTAGTTTAAGGTAGAACACAATAATCGATGATCCATCCTACGTGTCTTATGGATCACGCTCCAACCGAACAGTTGACTATTTACTATCTCGACGGTGATATCCCCAAACGAGTTTTTAACACATGCCACAGAATATTCATAATTATACCCGTAAGGCCTATTTCTAAGCCATCTTAAAGGTCTTCTAGATAGTCTTAGAAACCAACATCAATATATCTTAGAGTTCTTCTAGATATACTTAATAGTCATTATCAATTCCAAATGGATATATTGTAAAGTTCTTCTAGATATCCTTAACAATATAAATCATTTCATAATCATCAATACATTCTTTTTTAATCATGATTTAATCATTCACAATAATCATTTTAATCAGAAGGTTCATCAATCAGAATCATTCATTATAATCATTCTTCATAATCATCAATCAACATAACATTCAAAGCAATAGCAATTAGCGGTCTAGCTTCGAGTTTTAACACCCTAGCTTATCGTCATGCATCACATAAGGTCTTTTTAAATGTCAAAACATTATTTTTATTCCAAGAAATCATCTTTATATTAATCACAATTGATTGGTATCAAAAATAGGATTTTCGAGCTCAAAAATAGCATTTTCAGACAAACTTTCGGATCAGATTTTTGGGGGATCGATCCAACCATCTAGATCGATCCAACTAGAAGAAACAGTCCCAGTGGATCAATCCAGACCATATGATCAATCCAGGCAGTCAGTTTTGGGTCACTGTTCATCTTCTTCAACATTCAGTCCATTTTTCGAAAATCCCATTTTTAGTCACCAAATTTCAACGAAACTATATAGAGATGTTCTCCAATGTTCATATATCATTTTGGCATCAATAATTCATATTTTTAACATCAATTTCATGGTTTATGATTCTTGGTTCTTCAAGCATGTCAAACACAAAACTTAACCAAACGATCGTTTGTGAACGTAGAAACGATCTATATGAATATTCTAGTCACTTGATATATCTACAGGCTTACATCGAAGCTTAAAGAAGGTTTTGAGAATTTTCCGGTGAAACTTCCGGCAACGATTTCTCCCAACTCTGGTGACTTCGGCGACCATCAGCTATTGCAGCATGTTCTCCTCACTCTCAAGAGCATTACTAAACTCATAATTTTTGGCGAGGAATGAGAAGGTTGATGATACTATTATATAGGGAAGGGAAGGAGAAGGAGACGCAGTTGCTGAGTCATTGACGATTCACGATATGCTTAGTGCGTTGGGAGGCGCCGTTCGCACAGTGTCCCTAATTGAGACCAAATTTGGTTCCAGTCGGGGTACACTTTTTGGTTCAGCTTTCTCTTAATTAAAATCCGTTTGCACCGTTGCGATCATGCAGTTAAACTCTATCCAACAATATATTTTCATATTTATTTGTAATACTTTTTCCAACATCATATTTTTAGGTGTTTTACTTTGACAGAGTCAGAATTGGTTTAATTGACATGTACTCAGAAAAGTTCTCATATCCCCTTCATATTATTTATTCTCATGATTAAATGATTTCAAAGTTCACATCATAAATAATTTCTTCATTTATTCTCGATTTGGGTCTGTACTTAGGTTCCCAATCAAGACCATACAAATAGTCAACATATTGCATTTATCTTTATGAGATTTATCTAGATTGTGATATTATATATCAAAACATATTTCATTTCGGCCCAAAGCCAAACAACAATTTATTTTAATCAAAACAAATTTAATTAATTAAATAATTATCTATTAATAATTCTAGGGTATGTTTTGGAGCAGTACAAATCATTCGACATCGGTGACGCCACTAGCACCGGAAACACAACAAACCTGCCTCCAGTTAGTAATCCCACTAATGCCGGTGATAATACAAATTTCTTCGAAAGCTCCACTGGCTCTGGCTCACTTCCAAATCCCTTACGTTTGGAAACCCGTGAAAGACAGTCGTCCACACGCTTGCGAGACTTTATTATATTGTTCACACCATTCAGCACTTTCAAGTTGCCTCTCCGTATCAAGACCTACCTTTATGTACATCTCATTGTAATATAAACTTTGTTAAATATGATAATTTTTTATTGTCCCATAGATGTTTTTTTGAGGTACAAGTGCAGAGGTGGAGGCAACACATTTTTCTAAAGCTGTCAATCATTCTCATTGGCGAGAAGCCATGCAGAACGAGATACAAGCATTGAAGGATAATTAAACATGGTCACTTGTTCCATTTCCTTGGGGACTTAAGACAATTGCTTCTAAATGGGTGTTCAAAGATTAAACAAAAATCTGACGAGTCTATCAAACGATACAATGCACGTTTGGTTGTGCTAGGAAATCGATAGAAGGAAGAAATTGATATTAAGGAAACTTCTGTTTCCACAGCCAAGGTTACCACTGTTCGTACTTTTTTTGCCACTGCACGTCAATGGAGTCTGCATCAGATGGATGTGCATAATGTTTTCTTGCATGGGGATCTCAAGAAGAAGTTTATATGTAGTTTCCCCTAGGCTCTATTTTTCGCTTTAACAGCCTTGTGTGCTGTTTATTACATAAATCAATGTAGGGTTACGCCAGGCATCACGTTGTTGGTTTGTTAAGTTGTTTGCTTCCTTCGCAAGTTTTGTTTTATCCAATCAAAAGCTGACTATAGCTTGTTTACATCCGCTAGGGGGATCGAGGTGCATGTTCTTATATATGTGCATAATTTTATCATTGCTGGTACAAATGAGTCTTTTATTACTAAATTCAAACATTACCTCTCTAATTGCTTCCATATGAAGGATCTAGATTAACAGATTTTTTTTAGGAATCGAGGTGGCACGAAGTTCCTATTAGATTCTTTGTGTCAGCGAAAATATGGTTTCGACATCTTGATTGAGTCTAGCACGCTAGGTGCTCAACCGGTAGTAATCCCTTTACTTGTAAATCATCACCTTGCCCTTTCCATAGGGGTCGAGATCTCTCAGCTTGGATGATACCGACAATTCGTTAGATGACTAATTTATTGACCACCACTCGACCAGATCTTGCTTATGCAGTTCATACTCTTTCTCATTTTATGGGAGCTCCGCGTCAAGAGCACTGGGAAGCAACTCAGCATGTTCTTCGCTATATGAAATCTCGATCGGGGCAAGGACTTTTTCTCCTGTGATTTGTCTCTCACCACGTTTTGTGACTCAGATTGGGTGAGTTGTTCCATTACACGTTGTTCGGTCATTGGGTGTTTTATAACACTTGGCAACGACTCCCCCATATCTTGGTGTACAAAGAAGTAACATAGAGTTTCTCGCTCTTTTGTAGAGGCTGAGTATCGTGTCATGGCCACTAGCATATGCAAGTTAAAATGGTTGTGCTCCCTACTCTTTTCCTTCGGCATCAGACTACGCCTTCCCATGATGCTTTATTGTGACAGTCAGGTCGCCGTTCACATTGCTGCAAATTTGGTGTTTCATGAACGCACAAAACACAATGATATTAATTGTTATTTTGTTTGTGATGGAATTCAACGTGGACTCCTTCGAACAGAGCACATTGCTTTCGCTGAACAACTAGATGATATCTTGACCAACGCACTACCTATTACATCTTTTATTCATTTGTTGTCTAACCTGGGCACTCGCGATCCACACTTATCCGCTTAAGGGGTGTGTTACGGAGTGTGCAACGCACGATAAAGGAAGGCCGGGAAAGACTAGAATCCTTGTGGGATTTGGTCTCTTTGATTTGTTTCCTAGTTTGTTTATTGTGGTTTGTTTCCTTCTAGGATGTAGACTCGTTCGTTCTTCAATCATATATATAGAAATATCTCGTATTATTTTCTACAAACTCCCTACAAGTCATATCTCTTAGTAACTTCTGTTAGCTTCATCATCTTTGTACCACACCTGCACGTTTTTTTTGTGTTGTGTGATCTGCAAATCAGTTTGAATCAGGTATTGGTTTACCCCCATGAAATTTCACTCATGTTGTGTAATTTTAGATCGAAGATATATCAAATAAGAGCAAGCAGAGAGAGGCAACGAATTCAGGAAGATCAGTGTGAGCTAAGGAAACCAAATCTCCCCAATTCTTAAGATTTTCGGGACCGGAGTCCAAAATAGTAAAAGACTCGTACAAAGTGGATAACGTCGAAATAGAGCCTAAAACCGCAGGAGACTTTTCGTTCAAACTCGCGCCTTTCTTCTTCCTCGCGCGAACGTACGCGTACATCTACGCGAACGTTCATGTCCGATCATGAGGATTTTCGACTCTTTAAAATAGAGTCTCGTGGTATGGGTTGAGTTAAAGATTTTTGAGTGCTTGTTCTTAATTAACGTCTTATCCGATTGAAGTATTTCGTATACCTCGAAATAACTTTGATATGAAAGCGTTTCGTACGCGATTCGTTATACTATCGAGTTCTTCTTTAACATTGATTCGCAGTGTTCTTCTCTAAACAATTTCAACAGAACTTGGGTGTCTTGCACGCATGTGCAAGTGATCAAGTTTATGTATCTTCATCAATTAACACATTTCTTCCATAAAGAAAGAAAGAACAACATTTCTAAAGATTGATTAATAGGATTAAATTTGAAAAGATGACGAAATGATACACGAAACTCACAAATTTAAGAGGTTTATAGTTAAATACTTCCTCTGTTCACCATAGATATACCAGACACTATTCACAGGGTTAAACTTCACTCACTTTGTTTGCTCATTTTTACTAGTCATTTCGTAAAATAATATTG